GCCTTGGCAACATTTTTGTTCGGTTATGTCTTCATTCAGAACGCTCTAACAAAACACATTAGGCCGGGTGATTTATGAAAACAGAAATCTATTTCTCATAGTTCTGGGGCCTGGAATTCCAAGGTCAAGGCGCCAGCAGAGCCGGAGTTGGCTGAGAGCCCCACCTGTTCCAACGGATGGATGGCACATCCCGCTGCCCCCTCACATGGCAGAAGAGGCAAGGGGGCTTGCTTCAGCCACTTGTGTAGGAACACTAACCTCCTTCCCAGCAACATCCAGGTGACAGCAAGTTGTTTAGGGAAATATGTAAATCAAGCATGCTCTTCTAAACCAACAACTAAAATGTGACAGGAGTGGTTTCAGTGACAAGCTTTTAAATGCAAACCAAAAGCTCTACAAGTTATCATACGACCGATTTTCCTGAGAAACATACATGCATAAAGAAACATGCAAATCAACAAAAGGAGGAAGCCAGAGAAATAGAATTAGGACACCAAAGAGAATCCTCCAAAACGGGAGCCCCCATGTTAGAAGAAAGACAGCTCGTGTTTCCTCCAGGACTACTTTCCAGACGCTTGTACCTTGTCTCAGATGCCCTGTGGATTTAGCATATCTCAGCAAGCCAGGCTCCTTCCTGTATTTCAGGGTAAGCTCTAACATGACGGCTGAATGAGCTGCATATTCTGGTTTGAGCTGGACGTGTCTGGGACTGCCTGCAAGCTCTGTGTGTCTTCTCCTATCAGCACCTCAGACGATTTGTCCCCAGCTGAACTTTCTCCTCTCTTAGCTTTGTCTCCCTGCTGCCTGGCCAGACCACCTCACATTCCAGCCTGCCAGGAAAGCTCACACTCCAGTCATTCTCCCAAAATCATCTTCTTCCTCCTCCTCTTCCTCCTCCTCCTCACCATTTCCATTTCTCTAGTCCCAGCTCTCACCTGGCCTGCAACAGCCCCTCCTTCACCTCCTGCGTTGCAGCTGATCGGGTCTCTCCTCTGGGGATGGCATTCGCAGCATTGCTCGCTCCAAACTTTCCAGCTTGAGTTTGTGTTACCACTTGGTCCACACTCAGCCTATCATCCGACTAGGAGTACCCTTCATCTATCAAGAGGCCATTATGTGAAGGACACAAGGTCACACCATGGTAGCTTCCTGTCTGCTGCCATCCTGAGGGAGAACAGAAGTCTCTGCTGGGGGATGTTGGGTCATAATGCACTGCCCACACAGAGTTTTACCAGTCTGGACTGAAGCATGCCTTGTGTATTCTTTTAAGTTTTTAAAATCTGAGATGCAGAGAGGTCTCTCATCTGCTGGTGCGCTCACCAAATGCCTGCAATGGCCTGGCAGCTGAAGTCAGGAGCCATGCATCCAATGCAGGTTTCCCAGGTGGGCGGCAGGGATCCAACCACCTGAGCCATCACGACCGCCTCCCAGAGTCTGCATTAGCAGGAAGCAGAAATGGGAGCTGAGCCAGGACTCGAATCCAGGCACTCTGATACGGGATGTGGGTGTCTCAAGCTGTGTCTAAGCCACAAGGCCAAATGCCCTCCCCACTTCTTGCCTTTTTATCTCTCCCTTTTGCTTGAATTGTCCTTACAGCTAGAGTGCCCTCGATCCCAGCCTGCAATGTTCTGCCACCACAGACCCAGCTGATGCAGATGGTTGTCTTCTCCAGGGCCCAGCTCGCAGAGACCTCCCACTCAACAGATGCCGTCCTCAAGAGTCACTTGGTTCACATCTTCATTTTCCAGAGAGTTCCAAGGCATCTGCGCAGGAGCCAGGGCAAGTATCATTTCTGCCCAATTCACAACCAAAGTGCCTGGCTTTCACAGAGCAAACCATCTGTTTAATAGCAGTTTTTTTTATTTGACAGTCAGAGTTAGACAGTGAGAGAGAGAGACAGAGACAAAGGTCTTCCTTCTGTTGGTTCACCCCCCAAAATGGCCACTAAGGCCAGCACTGTGCTGATCTGAAGCCAGGAGCCAGGTGCTTCCTCCTGGTCTTCCATGTGGGTGCAGGGGCCAAGCACTCGAGCCATCCTCCACTACTTTCCTGGGCCACAGCAGAGAGCTGGACTGGAAGAGGAGCAACTGGGATTAGAACCAGCGCCCATATGGGATGCCGGTGCAGCAGGCGGAGGATTAACCAAGTAAGCCACGGCGCCAGTCCAATTTTTTTTTTTTAAAGATTTTATTTATTTATTTGAAAGAGTTACACAGAGAGGAGAGGCAGGGTGAGGGAGAGTGAGAGGGAGAGCGAGAGCGAGAGGTTTTCCATCTGCTGGTTCACTCCCCAGTTGGCCACAATTGTCGGCACTGTGCCATTCCGAAGCCAGGAGCCAGGAGCTTCTTCCAGGTTTCCCACATGGGTGCAGGGTCCAAGGACTTGGGCCATCTTCTACTGCTTTCCCAGGCCATAGCAGAGAGCTGGATTGGAAGTGGAGCAGCCGGGTCTTGAACCAGCACCCATATGGGATGCCAGCATTTCAGGCCAGGGCATTAACCCGCTATGCCACAGCACTGGTCCCATTAACAGCAATTTTTTTTTTTTAACAGGCAGAGTGGACAGTGAGAGATAGAGAGACAGAGAGGAAGGTCTTCCTTTTTGCCGTTGGTTCACCCTCCAATGGCCGCCGTGGCCAGCGCGCTGCGGCCAGCGCGCTGCGGCCGGCGCACCGCGCTGATCCGATGGCAGGAGCCAGGTACTTCTCCTGGTCTCCCATGGGGTGCAGGGCCCAAGCACTTGGGCCATCCTCCACTGCACTCCCGGGCCACAGCAGAGAGCTGGCCTGGAAGAGGGGCAACCGGGACAGAATCCGGCGCCCTGACCTGGACTAGAACCCCGTGTACTGGCGCCGTAAGGCGGAGGATTAGCCTACTGAGCCACGGCGCTGGCCTAACAGCAATTTTTAAAGACGGTGAAGATGCATATCTTCTGTTCTCGTGGAGGAGAGACACAGGTTGACCCAAGTGGCCAGAATCAGATTTTACGAAAAGGGATTCTGAAACTGTGAGCCCTGAGCCTGGATCAAGGTGTAACTATTTTTTAATTAGGCCTCCATCTTGTAACTTGGGCCTGACCAGGCCCTGAACCTTAAGCCAGAAGCTCCTAAAAGTAAATAAATGAACTCCCCTTGCGATAAACTCTCCTAGCAACAGCCGATTAACAGATAACAGAGAAATACCTAGAGTTCCTGGTGTCTTCTCAGGGCAGATGAGGTGATTGATAGCTACCTGAGACCCTGCATGTACATCCCAGCAGCTCGGACTCTATGCTTCGGCCAATCAATTGAAAAGGCATCAACCCCAAAGCCATCCAACCACCTTTAGTAGGTCCGTTCCCGCCACTGGATGCACTCAGCAATTCTTTTTTTTTTAACTTTTATTTAATGAATATAAATTTCCAAAGTATGATTTATGGATTACAATGGCTTCCCCCCCATACCGTCCCTCCCACCCACAACCCTCCCCTTTCCCACTCCCTCTCCCCTTCCATTCACATCAAGATACATTTTCGATTATCTTAATATACAGAAGATCAGCTTAGTATACATTAAGTAAGGATTTCAACAGTTTGCTCCCACACAGAAACATAAAGTGAAAAATAATAGATGATTTTTTTTTAATGATGATGAAATCAGATCAGACCTATTGTCATGTTTAATCCCAGTGAGAGTCAAGTTGGGAGTTGATAATTTCTTTTTTTTTTTTTTTTTTACAGAGGATCAGTTTAGTATGCATTAAGTAAAGATTTCAACAGTTTGTACCCCCATAGAAACACAAAGTGAAATATATTGTTTGAGTACTCGTTATAGCATTAAATCTCAATGCACAGCACATTAAGGACAGAGATCCTACATGAGGAGTAAGTGCACAGTGACTCCTGTTGTTGACTTTACCAATTGACACTCCTGTCTATGGCATCAGTAATCTCCCTATGCTCCAGTCATGAGTTTCCAAGGCTATGGAAGCCCTCTGAGTTCTCCGACTCTTATCTTGTTTAGACAAGGTCATAGTCAAAGTGGAGGTTCTCTCCTCCCTTCAGAGAAAGGTACCTCCTTCTTTGAAGACCTGTTCTTTCCACTGGGATCTCACTCACAGAGATCTTTTGCCAGAGTGTCTTGGCTTTCCATGCCTGAAATACTCTCATGGGCTTTTCAGCCAGATCCGAATGCCTTTAGGGCTGATTCTGAGGCCAGAGTGCTATTTAGGACATCTGCCATTCTATGAGTCTGCTGCACTCAGCAATTCTAAGAGATGTCCTTTGAATTTCCCGTGGGATGAGGTGATTTACTAAATGGTACCATGATGTATAGAATGTCTCTGAAAAGCCTATAAAAACCCTGTTAACTGAAGGGTCGGTGTTGATTGAGAGACCAGGCCCGGACCTACAATAAAACTCTCGTGTGCTTTACAGCGGTATCGGCTCCTTGGTGGTCTTTAGGGACCACTGAACTGGGCCTAACAAAACTAACGGATGGAGAGGTAGAGGAGGGACTCTCCCGGTTGGTTCTCTACCAGGCGCCTCCACTTTTCATCAGTTGTTGGCTCACCGTTCCTTTCCTCCCCTCCCCTCCCCTCCCCTGCCTTCCCTCCCTCCCTTCTTTCTTTCTCTCTCCCTCTCTCCCCTCTCTTTCCTTCTCTCCCCTCTCTTTCCCTCTCTCCCTCCCTCTTTCCCTCTCCCTCCCTCTCCCTCTTTCTCTCTCCTCTCTTTTTTTTCTTTCTCTCTCTCCCCCTCCCCCTCTCTTTCTTTTCCCCTCTCCCCCCTCTCCCTCCCTCCCCCCTCCCCCCTCTTTCTCTCTCTCTCCTTTCTTTCTCTCTTTTCTTTCTCTCCCTCCCCCTCTCCCTTTCTCTCTTTTCTTTCTCTCCCTCCCTCTCCCTCCCTCCCCCCCCTTCTCTCTCTCCTCTCTTTCTCTTCTCTCTCTCTCTTTCTTTAGGTGATTCTGGCTGGGATAAGGCCAGAAGCCATCGTCAAGGCCCAGGAGTCCTCAGGGGCAGTCAGGGATGCCTGCAGGATGATTGGCTGGAACCCAGCCGCTGCTGGCACCGGAGTCATCAGCAGCACCTGGGCCCACCGCGGGTCTTAACGCCACGTGAATGTGGGATCCATTTTCAGGGTCTCCCTTGAACTGCTGCTCACGCACCGTGTGCTTTAGTTTTGCGGTCTGGGGTCGCAGGGTCACTCTACCAGCTGCGTCCCCTTTGACAATTTATTGCATCACCGCTACCTAGATTTCCTGGCCGGGCTGCTGAGAAGGGTGAAGAATCACACAGCTGGCAGAGCTCCCCATAAAATAAAAGCCGCAAGGCCCCCTGATCGGAAACTGCTAAGACTTTCAAGACTGGCACCGCTGAGCCGTAAGCCAAGTGCAGAGGCCGGGCCTGTGCAACCTCCGGGTCTGCAGGGCCACCAGAGAACGCAGTTTGCTTTACATACAGTGGGCGCTCAACAAATGCTCGGTTCACCTTTGCGACCACTCGCCGCGGCTTCTTCCTCAGCGCGCCCGACGGCTCGCGGACTGCGTGCGCCCGGGGCCGTCTCCAAGGCGCACGCGGGGCGGCCCCGCCGCCGCCGCCGCCCCGCAGTGTTTACGGGTTGCCGAGGAGATTCCCCGGGCCGCCGGCTCCCGTCGCCGCCTCCGCCGCATCGCTTCGCTCCGGGCCGGCTCCGGGTCCGAACGTGCCCGCGGCGCCAGCAGACATGAGCCGCGGCGGCGCCTCCGCCTCCGCCTCCAGGCGCCCGGACGGGACCAGCGCCGCCGCGCCGCCCGCACCTGAGGTACGTGCGCTGCCAGCCGCGGCCGCGCGCGGGGTGGGCCGGCCCGCGTGCCCGAGGCCTCCGTGTCCGCGGCGCCAGAGCCCGGCACAGGCATCCCGCGGAGCGCTCGGCGCCTTTCCCTCCAAACGGCGATGTCCCAGCGTAGGGCTGCACCGCGAGCTCGCCGCGGACCCCAGGGAGCGCGGGTCCCCCTGGCAAGCGCCTCCCTCAGGCGTCCAGCGGGTCAGCGGCTTCTCCCCACCCACTCCGGCAGAAGCTGCCTCCCTACCTGTTGGCCCTTGGGCTGTCTGTGGTGATCCGGGCAACCAACTTCCTCACAGACTGAGGTGTGTGTGTGGGGGGTGAGTGCTGGCCTCGGGGCGGCCGCTGCCCTGTGTCGCTCACCTGGGTGTCCAGAACCACTGATGATTCCGGTGTCTCTGGACCACGTAGTCGTTGACTCCCAGGTGTTCCTTAAGCCTTGGGGACACACACATGTATGCATTCACACGACACACATGCACAGACACATGCCTCAGTCACACAGCAAGCATGCATACAGTGCACACAGAGTTGCACAAATGGGCGCAGAGACATGCACACAGAGACATGTACACAGTAACACAACATGCATGCACACACATGCAAACACAGATGCACAGATTCGTTCACACAACCACGCGCAGACTCATAAATGCATACGCACATGGGCATGCACATAGACACACATGCACAGACACGGTCAAATAACAGGCATACACACATACAGAGACACACACATACATGCATACACACAGTCACACGCACACACAGCACACACATTCTGAAGTCCTGACCGTCTCAGTCTATTTGGCATCCGCTCAGGGGCTGCCATCAGCTCCCTGAGGTACCCTGTGTTGTTAGGAGCGATTCCCAGAGAGGACGACTTTGTGTTCCTTGAAATGCTGGCCCAAGAGGTGTCCTCAGTGTGGCCACACTGCCTGTATACATCCCTGGTGCGATGTCAGATGCAGACGTGGGTTGGATTCTTCATGCCGTTGGAATTCTTCTAGTCAGCAGTTTTTGGTTGTTACCTTATATCCAACTCCTATTGAGGTTTCTCTGATTCCTGGCAAATCTGTGGATAACTGGTCTGGAGATACACAGGAAAAACTAATTTTTCTCCCATATGGCACTTTTGTATTTGACATTGTTACATTTTGTTCCAACATGGTATCCTCTGTGAATCATGACAGCCCATTTGTAATTTACATATCTTTTATCCCCAGGTGCTCCATATTGCCTAGCAGTTAGGGCATTCTCTAACCACGATATAATGATCAAATCAGGCTATTTAGCATTACTACAACCATATGCACACTGTCTACTAAAATTTTGCTCGTTATCCCAATTATTACAATTTTTTCCTTTTCTTTTTTCTTTTTTTGACAGGCAGAGTGGACAGTGAGAGAGACAGAGAGAAAGGTCTTCCTTTGCCGTTGGTTCACCCTCCAATGGCCGCCGCGGCCGGTGCGCTGCGGCCGGCGCACCGCGCTGATCCGATGGCAGGAGCCAGGTGCTTTTCCTGGTCTCCCATGGGGTGCAGGGCCCAAGTACTCAGGCCATCCTCCACTGCACCCCCCGGGCCACAGCAGAGAGCTGGCCTGGAAGAGGGGTAACCGGGACAGAATCCGGCGCCCCGACCGGGACTAGAACCCAGTGTACCGGCGCTGCAAGTCAGAGGATTAGCCTAGTGAGCCGTGGTGCCGGCTACAATTTTTTTTCATTCCAGAATCACACATTATATTTAGTTATTGTTTCTGTTTAAATCTGAAACTCTTCAGCTTTTTTAAAAATCTGATTTTTCATCATGGCTAGATTTTGGGTAGGAATACTGTTTATGAGCTGTTGTGTCTCAGTTCATCTCCTCACCAGATGCATGATGTCATCTTGTTCCATTGTTGGTGATGTCTCCAACTGGTGGTATCAGATTTTTTTCTCTGTAAAGTTACCTTTTCTCTTTTAAGAATGAATAAATGATCATATTAATTGAATAATCTTATCAATTCAGATAAAGACTTTTAGGATAAGTCTCTACCCACAAAAAGGAAAATTTCCATCAACCCAAGACGTGAATTGGTTTGAAAGCTAAATTTTATTAAGATCAAAAGTAGAAGCAGAAAGGCCATCATTTATTACAATTAAAATTTCACTTTACAAAATACTTTGTCTGAAATAATCTTTGGTAGGCAAAGCAGATACTTCTCATCATGTAGATGAGGAAAAGGCTTATTCAGCAACTGATGAAGCAGAGAATTAAACATCTTTCCTTCGAAAGCTTTATACTTTTACCAGCACGCTGCATTGGAAACAGATTAAAGTACGAGGCAGGGAGGATGTTTGACACAGCAGTTAGACGCCACTTTGAGTGCCTGCATCCCATGCAGAGTTTGAGTTCTGCTTCCTGCCTTCCAATCCAGCTTCCTGCTAGTGTGCAACCTGTGAAGGCAGCAGATGATGGCTCAAGTACTTGAGTCCCTGCCACCCATGTGGGAGACTTGGATTGTGTTCTGGGCTCGTGGCTTTGGCCTGGCCCAGCCCTCGTTGTTGTGGGATTTGGGTGGTTAACTTACAGATGAAAGATCTCTCTGTCTCTCTGCCTTTCAAATAAAATGAACATAAAGATTTTAAAAAATATTTATTTATTTATTTGAAACGCCAAATTATGGGTGTGTGTGTGTGTGTGTGTGTGAGAGAGAGAGAGATCTTCCATCTGCTGGTATACTCCCTAGATGGCCAGGGCTGGGCCAGGGTGAAGCCAGGAACTTGGAACTCCATCCAGGCTTCCCACATGAGTGGCAGGGGCCCAAACACTTGGGCCATCTCCCACTGCTTTCCAAGGTGCATTTGCAGGGAGCTAATGGTAGAAGAGCAACTGGGACTCGAACTGGCACTCACATGGGATGCTGACATTGCAGGTGGTGACTGAACCCACTGTGCCACAACACTGAAAATAAATAAAGATTTAAAAAGTAAAAAATATATACAAAGCAAGAATCGTATGCTACTTTCTGAAGAAATACAATATTTTAGTAACTGAGGTTTACCTTTGGAATCAAGACATGTTCAAACGTCCCTGATGATATATATTTATCTGTGACACCTTGGGCAAAAAAGTTACTTAAGGTCATAGAACTTTCTTTGTTCATCTGAAACATGGGGTGCAATACTCATCACATAGTGTGGTTTTGGGATTTTACAGTTAATTTATGGAAGGTCCCTAAGAGGATATCTGACAGAATAAGTACTTAATAAAATTGGGTATGATTGTTCTTTTAACTTTTGGAATTTCCTTAATGTCAACACCATTATCACCTCCTGCCACCATCAACCAATACCTCAGTCAATGCCTCAGCCACCATCTCAACCAGCAGTTTATTGAGGAGCTATGGGAGGGACGGGGGATACAAAATGAATTTGACACAGTCCTTGCTCTCAAGGAAGGATCAATAGAAATAGAAACAGTCAAGGGAAACAGATCCAAAAAAAGATGACTGTTTCATTGGTTCTCAGGCACTAAATTTAGTGCTGAATTTTTCTCAAGTTAGATTTACTGACAATGGAATCATCAGCAGAGTTTCACTAGGTGAGAAAGCAGGACAAATACTGAGAGCAATGCTATGAGCGTTGAAGTGAACAGGTCAAAGGAGGACAGAGTCCTGTGCTGGGGAAATTTACAAACCTAACTTTTCAGCAGGATGGTATAACTTTGCCACGTATTTGAAATACAGTTGCTCACTGAGAAATAGGACTGAATTATAAAGTAGTATCACCAGTCAGCCAAAAGCTACAGCAGTGTTGTCACATACCTAGAGGACCTGAATTTAAGTTATGGCCCAGAATATACAGTGGATAGAATACTGAGCAAATCTGTTTCCTCTCTGTAGAACAGAGCTTAACAGGAATGACTGGGTTGTTAGAAGCAAATGTTAACAGCAACAGTCAGCTGATCATGTACAATTATAAAGGAAGTCAAACTTGCTTTCCTTTTTCCTTCTGCCATTTCCACTTTAAAAAATTGTATAAAATATGCACAAAAATGACCATCCTGCTGTTGGGTGGCATTAAGTGCATTCACATTGTTGCATCTCCATTGGCACCATGCAGCTCCAGATCCTTGCTCATCTTGCAAAACTGAAACCCTGTACTCATTAAACAGTAACTTGGCATTCCTCCTCCACACCACCCTGGTAGCCACCAATCTACTTTCTGTCTCTCTGATTTTCTGTTAAGTGGAATCGTATTGTATGTATCCTTTTAAAAATATTTAATTGAGAGGCATATATAGATAGATAGCAAGCTCCCATCTGTTGGTTTACTCCCAAAATGCCTGTGACAGCTGGGGCTGGCCCAGGGCCAAAGCTGAGAGTGGGGGAATACAATCAAAGTCTACCATGTGTAATAGGAATCCACTGTAATTTTTCCCCCATTTGTCCAGGGGCATAAGTGTGTTCATACTGTGAGATGATAAAAGCTTAGAAAGTACCATTGATTGGTGGAAACTAAATTAGATGAGTAATTATATGTTTTCTTCTTGTTTTAATAAAAGGGGGGCTTTCTACTGTTATAAATAAATAATTATTAAATCACAGGAGAACATTGGACAAGTCCCACTGTATGGGTCTGGTGCTGTGGTGTAGCGGGTGAAACCACCACCTGCAGTGCCGGCATCCCATATGGGCACCGGTTAGAGTCCTGGTTGCTCCACTTCCACTCCAGCTCTCTGTTATAGCTTGGGAAAGCAGTAGAAGATGGCTCAAGTGCTTGGGCCCTGCACCCACGTGGGAGGCCTGGAACTATCTTATCTTGCGTTTTCCTTTGGTTTTGACTGTAATAAACACTTCACTTCTAGAATTAGCATAAATTTGAAATTTTTCTCTGAAGCTCTTTAAGTAAGTCTCAGCTTGATGAAATTGATAAAAGGTCTATAGTTTTGTTAATATATTGCCACAATGTTAATTTCCTGGTAATCTAAATGGTTC